TAAATAAAATTGAACTTATAAGTGTATAACTCACATTCTCATAATCTATTGTTATTTTCTCAAGTAATAAAATTGCCCTTCACATTGTTCCATTTTAATGGTGATCATAGATTATATGATACAGTTTATTGTACCCAGCTCTATTGTGGCTTTTTATCTACTTATTTATTTTTGTTTTTTTGAGACAAGGTCTTGCTATGTAGTCTAGACTGATCTGGAACTCACTATGTATCCCAGACTTGCTCTCAAACCGTCAGAGATCCACCTGCTTTAGCTTCTTTAGTGCTGGGATTACAGGCATGTGCCACCATGCCCAGCTCGATTCTGGCATTTTAGGTGGTTTCCCCTCCTCAGGGGATCCCAGTAGACTTGGGCTGTCCCTGTCAGACGAAGCCCTGCTCTGGGATGTGGAGCTCCTGGTCACCCCTTAGGGACTGACTTGGGTGCCAGCTTTCTCTGTGCCTGGGCATTTGTTGTTGGAGTGCCCAAGGGTTGCTACCCTTTCTATGAGTGGGTTGTCTCAGGGCTCAGCAAGCAGAGGCAGCAGCTGCCAGTGTGGCATCTCACTAGGCCTGGGTCAGCGCTGCACAGCTCAAGCTCTGGAGCTGGGGAGGGCAGAGCCATCCAGTCCTATTCCATGTCATCCTCCACCTGCCACCCAAATCCCGTGTGGCTCCCAGGGACACAACCTGACTTACATCTCTGTCTTCTTTCAATTGCAGACCTCTCCTCTGGATGAAAAGACAGGAAGAATGGATTACAGTCACCAAACTTCCCTAGTCCCATGTGGGCAAGATAAATACATTTCCAAGTAAGAGTCTTTGCCACAGCGTGTGAGCCAGTCCTGTGTGGGGACGTTGTGGAGGGTGGAAGTCACTGGCGGGGTGGGGGCCTCCTCCGTGTATCATGAATACAGAAGGGGCCAAGTCCCTGCATGCAGACCAGTGAGAGCAAGGGCAAGCCTGCAGCTGGGATATAAATGGGAGCCAAGCCACGGTGTGTGTATGTGTGTGTGTGTGTGTGTGTGTGTAAAGGGGGGGAAGACAACATTTTTAGGGGTTCAGGAGAGGAGGTGTCCTGGAGGCTTCTGGGAGGAGGAGCTGGCTGGTGGATGCTTGCTGTGATCTGAATGTTCGTGTCCCCAGGTATTCATATGTGGGATCCTAACACAGCGTGATGGTGTTAAGAGTCGAGGCTTTGGGAGGTGATTAGGTCAGGAGTGGGGCACCCCTGAGAGTGAGACTGGTGACCTTACAGAGGGGCCTGGGGGAGCTGGCTCGCCGTCTGATATTTGAGGATGCAGGGTGAAGGGCAGTACAGGAATAGCGGGCTGTCACCGGGCACCGTGGCCAGTGCGGCTTGGCCTTGGGCAGTCCGTCCTCCGGAGCTGTGGGAAGTGAGCTCCCGTGGTTTGTAAGCCTTCAGGTCCATGGTTTTCTGTCGCAGGGGGCAGAGACACTGCTCATGCCCTGTGCAGTGTTGCCCAGGCCCTGGCTGCAGCACCGTGTCCCTGGGCATCGTGGCTCTGGCTGTGATGGGCACGGGTGCACTCTGGGCAGGAAAGATGGGTTCATTGCTTTCTTTGCACTGAAGTCTTGGGTCTGACTGTCAGGGATGTGACGGAGGCTGAGCCAAAGCTGGCTTTCTTCCATGGTGAGCTTTTGGATCTATTGTTATGTCCAGCATGGGGACTGTACTTACGGGATGCTCTCCATCTGAGACGATCTGAGACGGAATTGTTTTAGACTCACTCGGTCATACACAGGCGTCTGCTGTGTGAGCCAGAACAGAACAGTTCTCTGTTCTGTTTTTCTTTTCCTCCTCCTCCTCCTCTTTGTCCCCTCCTTCTCTTTGTTCTTGTAGTACTGGGAATTGAACTGGGCCTTCACAGAGCTTCCCAGCTCTCTCTCCCTTCCTCCCTCCCTCCGTTCCTTCCTCCATTCCTTTCTTCCTTTTAGACAAAGCCAGGCTAAGTTGCCTAGACAGGACCTCAATTTGTGATCCTCCTGCCTCAGCCTCCCTGAGTGCTGAGATAACAGGCCTGTGACAGTGCACCCGGCATGACAGCCAGAACCTTCTTACTTCTTTGGTGAAGGATTTCCCCAGGGACTTTACTGCCGAGTAATTGTACGCTGTAGTTTCAGATCCGTGTAGTCCTCAGCACCAGATGACCTTCTGTTTTAGGTTATCTGGAGTCACACTTTTCCCTAATTCACTGCAGTTCGCACTCCTTTGTCTGGGTTTAACTTGTCAGGAGTTCCTTGGGATTTCCAATGGGTTTTAGCTTCTGGTGTGACCCAAAATCTCCCCACTAAATGACTGGGTAGAAGGACATCGAACTTGGTCACCTCTTGCCTGTGAGAAGGCAAAACAACATGCAGACAGCTGCACAGACTCTCCTTTCATCCCTCGAGAAGCACAGGACATGATCAACGGAAGGCACTCTTGCCCGGAGCAGAACATGGCCCGCTCCCACTTCTACTCCCAGGTCTCCAAGGGACCCACCGTCCTGAACCCTAATACCTCTTACAAACTTCATGCAAACCGCGTCTTGCAATACATTCCTTTCTCGAGTCTGGCTTCTGTCACTCAACGTGGAATACCTGAGATTCACCTATGCTGTGTGTTTTTCTTCCACGTATTCATCTCTGTATAATATTCCATTGCGTGGCTATAACTTTCTTTATTCCATCATTCTACAGTTGATAGGCACTTATACAGTTTTGTTGTTGTTGTGTTGTGATTTTATTTTTTGAGGTAGGGTCTCACTATGTGGTCCAAGCTGTCCTTGAACTGACTATGTACTCCAGGCTGGCCTTGAACTTGTAATTCTCCTGCCTCAGCCTCCCAGGTGCTGGGATGACAGGTGTGCATCACTGTGCCTGGCTTGGGAGTTCGTAACTTTTTGAACACACAGCCAGGTCATGTCAAGGAAGCCTAAATTGGTGTGGCCCAGACCTGTCCCTGCTGTCCTTGTGGAAAGTCTGGGACTGTCAAGTCCGTCTTCTCTCTCACAGTGTTGGTGGAGGGCAGGAGAAACGAGTCTGTGGGCGCCAAGGGCGCTTGTCTCTGACTCTGTGACCTGTCTTTTCCAAGGGTTAGGGTTGTTGTCAGAGATGGCAGCCTTGGCCTGTGGATGAGGCTGCCTTGGGCCTGGAGCTGCTTCTTACGCAGTCTGTTCTGGCTGATGCTTGACCTTGGCGGTGGGGAGCTGGTGGTGTGTGTGTGTGTGTGTGTGTGTGTGTGTGTGTGTGTATCTACATGCGTGTACACGCACAGGGAGAAAAGGTCACAGGGAGAAAAGGCAGCTTCTGCTGAGAATGTTGTAATTTGCCCCCAGGAACGAACTTCTCCTGCACCTGAAGACCTACAACCTGTACTACGAGGGCCAGAACTTGCAGCTGCGACACCGGGAGGTGAGGGGTCCAGAGCGAGCCTGGCAGCTCTGCGCTGTGGCATGGTGTTGGCTTTACCTCCAGGAGTTCTGGGTCTGCAGGGCCCTGTCATCCTCGGGGCCAGGTCTCTCCTTCCCCGCCATGGCAGGTGGCCTCTCACTCAGGGTCTCAGGGTCTTTGCAAGGAGGCCCAGGCCCAGGACAGCCCTGTGTGTGGGGGTCTCCAGCGGAGGTTTTCAGGAATGTACGTTGCTGTCCCTGCCTTTCCCCAGCCCCCATCCCTAAGCTATGCTTACTCATCCTGGCTCCATTTCTGTAAAGCCTGTTATCAGATAGACAAGGAGTTACAAAGACATCTGCTAGAGTAATTTATACTCAAGTGCTCTTGACTGATAAGAAGGCATGGGTAGTACCCTCTCCAGCACATTTCAGCCTATCAAGCCACGCCGATTTAATCCATAGAGGCAGATAACAGATGGTGGAATTTCAGGCAGGCCTGTGGGGGATGGGATGTGAGGCAGTGACCTTACTGCACCCCTCAACACCCCCTCCCCAGGTGAAGTGCTACTGTGGGTTAAATTCTGTCCTGCAGTCCTGCAGTATACCGTCACCAAGCCGTCCCGTCCAGTGGGAAGGCCGCATGTACAGCCTGTGCTTGCTAAAGCCTTGCTCCCTGACATCCCCAAACGTCCCCTTATCCTTTGGCCTGGGTCTGTGACTCACTCCCTCGGCAGGTGTCACTGTTACCCACAGGACCTGTCCTGAAGACATGGTCCCCACCCAGTGCCGACACCTGTGGACCCTGCCCAGAAAACGGGAGTTGGAATGGATTTTTCTGAGACAGGAGAAGAGAAACCTGACCCATTTAGACCCTGTCCTCACAGCGTTTATTAATTAGTGATTGAACTTGGGCAAGCTTGGCGGTCTTAAACAGTTTTCTTGGGGAATAGCTCACAGAATAAATCCTCATGGCGCTCCATGATTAAAGGGCTGCGTGCTTATAAGGGGGATCTGATTCTTTGGGTGGAACATAGCCGTCTCTTAGGAAGGTTTCACATTTAGCTTATTAGTCAAGGAGCTTTGAGTATGAATTTGGAATTCCTGCAGGATTTATTCACCTCTTGGAGAGTCACGATGCAGCACGTGAGGTTATTACAGGCCCTGGATGTTCTGCTGGGAAATCTGATTAACACGGCCTCTCCCAGCCCGTGACCACTCAACACCCTTTTAAGGCAACAGTCCGTGTGCCAGAGGAACCGGTGCTCTGTGGGGAACGTGGCTTTAAATCTTCGCCCAACGGTCAGGCTGCTGATTCCGTTATAGCTGAAGACACCACTTTCTGTAATGGGGGAGGGAAAAGTAGTTAATTCAGAAATTCACTTCTTGCTTCCCATAGTAAGTCATATCTCACTCATTTGAAAAGATGCATTCTGGCTTCTAAAGACAACAAAATTTTTTTTTTCATCTTTATCTATTTACATATTCATTGCTTCTCATATTGTTCCAATGATAAGAATAGGGTGAAAAATGTAGGAAAATAAAGACCACAGCCAAATCTACCTGTACTGTTGACATCTATGAATACAAAATTAAAATGGCAAAATCTGACTTTTCAAAAGGACCTCAGAGCTCCAGAGACAACAAATATTTTCATAACTTGCATTTGTGTATTTAAATTTCACATCGTTTTTGTTTTCTGGGGGGTGGTATGGGGTTCGGACCCAGGGCCTTGTGCAGGCAATGAAAGTGCACATCCCCTGGGCACATCCCCAGCCCCTGTGTGCAGCCCTGTGAGGTCAGCGTAGGATGAGGACGTCACAGCAGAGCGTGTCTTGCAGCTGGGGAGCGTGAGTCCCTTTCACACCCCGTGGATATAGTCGGGACACATGGAGGAGGCCGTCCTTGTCCCCGGCATGGGGTTGGCTCTGAGGGGGCTCTGCTGGGTTCACACAGGCTTTGCTCTGCGGGCAGGAAGAAGACGAGTTCATCGTGGAGGGGCTGCTGAACATCTCCTGGGGGCTGCGGCGGCCCATCCGCCTGCAGATGCAGGACCACAACGAGCGCATCCGGCCGCCTCCCTCCTCCTCCTCCTGGCACTCGGGCTGCAACCTGGGGGCGCAGGGGTGAGTTAGGCAAGAGGGGCCTGGGAGGTGACGGAGGGCTGGGGCTCTGTGTGCTTCAGCAGGTAGATGCTACTGCGCAGCCGGCCTCGCCCCTGCTCCTACCACCTCTGCTGCTCCTTGCTTCAGCTCGGGAGTGGGTGAGGGGCCCATGTGCGTCATCATATCTGAGGGAGGCAGGGGAAGCAGGAGGTGCTCCCCAGAGGAGACTCGCCGAGCCTGTGTGACAGTGTCCAACCTCACGGAGGATTCCGGGGCCTCTCCCGCCTCCTCCCCACGGGAACCCTCCTCGCCAAGTGGCCCTGCTCTAGACAGTCAGTGCTTGGTTCTTCTGACCAAAGCCTTCCCAGTTTGGGGGAGGCCTTTTCTTTTAAAATTTTATATTAGTGTATATTTGTGACACGTAATAAATACATTCGCCACGTGGAGTTGGCATATACGTGTATATTTCGCATCTTGGTCCATTTTACTCCCCTCCCCTCCTCCCTGTCCCCGGGTCCAGAGCCCTTCCCTCCTCCACAAAGTCTGTGATTCCTATCATCTAGCTTTGATTTTGCTCTTTCACTTATTTAGACTTGGGGTTCCATGCCTGGTTTTCCACACCCGCCATGGCCAAGAGAGTAGGGAAAGTGTCTCTCCCAGCTCACCCTGACTAGCGTTCTGGGCTGTCAGCTTTGAGGATCGTGACTGGCCCTGTTCCTCCTGAAACTTGCTGATGTTGGTGGCCTTCAGGCCAGAGCCCGGGTGGGGTGTGCCGGCCTCTCAGCCAAAACCACAGCGATAGTCTTTTCTAGTTAAACGAGAATCAAGTCCTCTCTGTGGGCCACGTGGAATGTTTTGTTAAACCCCACGGCCACTTCTCTCTTTCTGTGCAATTGAGGGATACTACTGTGTGGCCAAAGCCTGGGGCTGATCTGGTTTCTTTCCCAGAGAATTTAAGCAGGAGAGTTGGGGCCACCCCAGCGGGTGCTAGGATGTCTGATCCAAGTTCTTTGGTTTCATCTAACTTTTCTGGTTTCACATCGCTTTGCTTTCAGCACTTCGGCTGGATTTGATTTGATTTCCAGTGGGCCAAACCCTGTCCACTGCCTGAGCCCGATCCCGTTCTGTAACATTCCGTTCCCTGCGTGAGACGATAGGGCTGGGCTGCTGAAGGGTCCTTCGAGAATCAAGTCCTGGTATTTTTCTTCTCTCTGCCCTGTGGTATCAGGCAGGTCTTGGTTGGCCTTTGGAACCTACAAATGCCTTGAGAGTTTCCAAGAGTGTGGCGCAGATGCCAAGTGACATAGAGTGAGTGCCTGGATGCTGTATTAAGAAAGATGCTGAGGCCAGTTTCTGCTTCAGTGAGAAAGGCTTTGGATCAGGAAGTGGGGAGTGGTGGCTGTAGGTGCCAGTGATTCATCAATCTTTGGGAGGCTGTGGCTACGAGTTATATTTAGGGGCTCAGAAGGCTACGAGTTATGTTACAAGAGAAACTCAGATTTTTTTAAGAGAGGGTCTTGTTATGTAATTCAGGCTGGGCTTGAACTTGTGGAGATCCTCATGCCTCAGTCTCCTGAGTGCTGCAATTACAGGCGTGGGCCTCCACATCCGGTAGACTTTTCAGTTACAGTTGTCTTCTCTTCATACCATCATCCTTGGAACATAAAACCTGTCTCTGCTGGGTCCTAAGGAGCCCACCCTCTTCACCATGGGAAGTTATGAGTGGTCAGTGAGGATTCTTCTGTGGACTTGGGGTGTGTTTCCCCAAGCTGCTTCCGTTGTCTCTTTGGGCTTTGAGGCTCCAGTTGGGGTCAGCTGTGCAGCACTGCTCTGAGAGCTGCTGTGCACGGTTATCCGTGAATCTCTAAAATTCACATGGCTCAAGACTTGCCAGTTATCACGGCTGCCTGCGGTGGCCCTTTCTGCAGTGTGGCTGGGGACTCCCTCCTTGTCACCCTGAGAAAGCGGACATCAGTGTTCCTTCCGGAACTGCCTGACCCTTGTAGCAGCAGCCTACTCCTTTCACTCCTTTCAGATGCCAGAGCAGTTTCTGAGTTGTCCCCCCAGCAGAAACAACTCTGAACTGGAATCCTGTCCTAAGAAACAGAAGGCTGTTATTAGGATTTTTCAAACGAGCCCTAGAACTCACAGGTGCTTAGGAGCTCAGTGCGGGCAACACACGGGTTTTGTTCTGGGGCTTCTTCTTCTCTCCGGCTGAATGAATTGGGCTCTTGTGTTGCTGCAGATGCTGGGGAAGAACATCTTCTTTCTCTCGAACTCCCCCTCCCTGCCCAGCGCTGGGCTGGGAACGGGGCCAGCGCATCACCTGATGTGTGCGGTACCCAGCTGGCCCAGGCAGGGCACTCTACTTAAAGGTGGGGTGGTAAGGAGCGCAGGGCCTCCACCTGCAGGGAGCTAAAGCCGTCTCCCTTTTGTTTTTTTCCTGTCCTAGCACCATCCTGAAGCCCCTCACCATGCCTGCCATTCAGATCTCAGAGGCCGACGCCCCTCCAGAGGGCGACCAGACGCCCAGCTCCACAGGTATGCACTCCAGGGAGGAGGGGGCTGCAGTTGGGGTCAGCTGTGCTCCACTGCTCTGATAGCTGCTGTGCATGGTTATCCATGAATCTGTAAACTTCACATGGCTCAAGACTCAAAAAAAGTATTAAAAGGAAAGAAATAAAAATATCCCGTCTCGTCCACCCCCAGAACTTCCCTCCCTCCCAACAGTGCCCTGAGCTTGTCCTCCCAAAGGGTTTCTTCTTCCCCATTTTATACAAGAGAGAGCATTTTGCACGGTGCTCTTTTTATTGCTATTTAGCTTGGGAGTGTTCTGTACAAATGCATAAAGAACTTCTCCCTCCATTGTAGCTCCTCAGTGCTCCATTGTATGGAAAATGATCATTTATTCAGCTGCTCTTTTGATAGACATTTAGGTCACGGTCAGTCTTTACTGTGACAACCCAGGTTGCAGTCAGTGGCCTGGTATGTGTGTCAGTTCATACATTTGTTCAAGAGGCACTCCTGGATCTGCGGCTGTGTGCATTTGTGATTTTGACAGATATCATCAATGTGCAAATCTCTCTATAAAGCATGAATAGATCTCATTAAAAATGGATCAACTTACTTGTATTTCACAATTCACTTAATGTCAGTGTTTTAGATTTACAGATAGAAATATGTCATGGGCCTCCTATGTGTTTATATTCATGTGCTCTATTAATCATTTTCCAAGTTTTTTATTTTGGTAAGTACATATAAATGTTCAGTGTTCACCATTTTGAAGTATTCAGTTCAGTGGTACTAAATACATTCATAATGTTGTGCAATCTCACTGTTTTGTGTCTCAGAACTCTTCATCTTATATGCAACTTTATTTAGTATTTAATGTGTGTGTGTGTGTGTGTGAGACCCAGGGCTTCACACACACTACACAACCCTCTACCACCTCTTCTAGGGCATAAAACGGAGACTCAGGAGGGAATGGCTCAGCAGGACAGTGCTTGCCTAGCACGTGAGAGGCCTGAGTCAGTTCCCTAGCACTGCAAAAATTTAAAAGACAATAAAAATCCCTGGAACTCAGTACCCATTAAACAACCACTCCCCCTTCCTTGTCCACTCCAGCCCTTGGCAGTCGCCGCTCTGTTTTGTGTCTCTGTGACGGGCACTGGTCTGAGAGGAATCATACCGTGCTTGTCAGTGTGTGACCGGCTCATGTCACGCACGTGCCCTCCTCCAGGCTCACACGTGTCACTGCACGAGCTGGGACTGGTGTGCGAGATCTCACAGACCCACGTCTCATGCTCACTCCATGCCAAGCACCGCTCTAACAGCTGTGTGTGTAGTCAGTCACACATTCAGACCCTCACTGTAGTTCCACAGCGTGGGTGCTGTCATTACCCCACTTTGTAGGAAACAGACACAGAGGCTAGTGACATATATAGCAGTTGGGGGTCTGGCCCTGAGGCCTGTGCTCTGCACCTTTTACTGTATTATTTCTAAATTATGTGTATCATGTTGCTTCTCCACCTGGACATGGTAGTTCATGCCTATAATTCAAGAGACTGAGGCAGGAGGATCACAAGCTTGAAGTTAGCCTGAGCAATTTAGCCAGACTGTCTCCAGATAAAAATAAGAAGGACTGGGGCTGCAGCTCAGTGTGAGGCCCTGGGTTTGATCCACAGCCTCACAAAACGCAACATAAGGCATATTTTTGGGGACAGTGGGTGCTGTATCATTAGCCATCACGGGAACATGATGAGTCCTGACTTCAAGCACAGAGAGCTCCTTTATCCCTCTGCTCTCAGACTCCAGAGGCCTGAAGCCGGTGCAAGAAGACACCCCACAGCTGATGCGCACGCGCAGTGATGTTGGGGTGCGTCGCCGTGGTAACGTGAGAACGCCCAGTGACCAGCGGCGAATCCGACGCCACCGCTTCTCCATCAACGGCCATTTCTACAACCACAAGGTAGAACGGAGGGCTGGGGATTTAGCTCAGCGGCCCAGGGCCTGCCCAGCAAGCGCAAGGTCGTGAGTTCGATCCCCGTCCCCGATACCGGAAAAAAAACCCAAAAAACCAAACCAAAACAAGGTAGAATGGGCGTCAGAAAGTGAAAGGCAGAGGACACCCTTGGGGCCACACCCCTTCCTGAGTTCCTGTCACCTAAGGGCTCCCATCCCTGCCGCTGGTCCCTCTGCACACCGGAAAGCCAGGTTTCTGCCCCTCGGTGTTTGCATAGTTGGTGGGGTGCGTGCTCTGCTGGCTTAGTAAAAGGTGGGGAGCCCAGGTCAAGGGAGGCGCTAGGGTGATGCTGAACTCAGTGTGGTTGTGCGAAGCCTTGAGGGCGCCATGAACACACTCAGGAACATCAGCCCGGGCTGCCCTCCACCTGCTCCCACTTCGCCCTGGGCAGGGGCTGCCCTGAAGCCCAGATGGGCCCGCCCCTGCCGCCCTCCCCACCCTAGCTGGTCGGGTAGTCCAGCCCCAGAAGGGGTGGGGGCCTCCAGTGCCGAGGGCTGGGGCCCGAGCTCCCTGGGCATTTTCCTTGGAGAGGGTTGGATTATCTCCTCAGACCCCTGCTCCCCACCCTGCCCTTTGGGGAGCGTGAACTGCATTAGACCAGCCCCAAGGGCTGTCTACACCAACACCTGCTGCACACCGTGAGCACCACTGCCGCCTTGGCCCCTACCCACCCGGCCTTGGTGCTCCGTGTGTACCCTCAGCCCAAATCCTCCGTCCACAGACATCAGTGTTCACACCTGCCTATGGCTCAGTCACCAACGTCCGCATCAACAGCACCATGACCACCCCGCAGGTCCTGAAGCTGCTGCTCAACAAATTTAAGGCACGTTCCCTTTTCTGGCCCTGTGCCCTGGGGGGCCTGGGGGCCCTGGGAGGGGTGGAGTGGTTGGCTATGGAGAGTGGTTTGGGGGTGCCTGGCAGAGAATTAGTCAAGGCATCAGCATTGATGCCTTTCACAGTCAAGGCATCAGCATTACCCAGAAGTGTGTTAGAAAAGCAGATTCTGCCTCATGTTCTGGTGCACACCTGTAATCCCAATACTTAGGAGGCTGAAGCAGGAAGATTGCCGTGAGTTCAAGGCCAGCCCAGGCTACATAGTGAGTTCAAGGCCAGTCTGAAATCACATAGTGAGAACCTGTCTAGAAAGGAAGAAAGAATGAAAAAAGGAAAGAATGAAGGAAAGAAAGAAAGAAAGAAAGAAAGAAAGAAAGAAAGAAAGAAAGAAAGAAAAAGAAAGTCAAGGCAGATTCTTAGGCCCCATTCTGGACCTCCTAAGTTAGAAACTCCCAGCAAGGCCAAGAAACCTGTTCCAGGGGCCTGCAGGGGCCGGACTGCCTACCAAAGTTTGAGGAGCTGTGATTCTTTGAGAAGGGTAGTTTGAGAAGAAACAACCCTGGAGCCTAACCTCTGCTTTGGGGTTTTTAGTTCATGAATTAACTTCCAGGACACAGCTGGGGACCCTGCTTTGAAAAATAATACTTACAGGGGGCTGGGGATTTAACTCAGTGGCCTGGCAAGTGCAAGGTCATGAGTTCAATTCCCGGTACTGGAGAAAAACCAAAAAAAGGAAAAAAGTTTAGGGGCTGGGGATTTAGCTAAGTGGCACGGTGCCTGCCCAGCAAGTGCAAGGTCGTGAGTTCAATCCCCGGTATAGGAAAAAAAACAAAAACAAAAACAAAAAAAAGAAAAAAGAAAAAAGAAAAACAATGCTTACATGTGCAGGTTATTCAGCTCTTGGAAGGCTTGCCATGAGTTTGAGGCCGGCCTGAACGACCCTGTCTCAATGGTAAGACCCTGTCTCAAACAAACAAACAAACATGTGATAATTACAATGATGAGTGCATTTAAGGTCCTATTACTCTGTTTTTCCACAATTCCTTTTCATTCTGAGACCAAGTACTTACATTGGTTTATTTGAGATCTGGGTCTTACTGTCACCCAGGTTGATCTCACACTCCTGGGCTCAAGTCCTCTTGCCTCAGCTTCCCAAGTAGCTGGAACCACAGGCGTGTGCCGTGATACCCAGGTAGTACTGTTTTTAATCGGAGCCACGGTGTCCAGGAATAGAAGGCTCTGGGTTTGAATCCCTGTCCCTCCTGTTAGCTGGCTGAGTGGGCAGGTGATTCAAGGTCCCTGTGCTTCTGCCTTCTTATGCATAAAAGGAGGACAGTGAGCATGTGTCCAGGGTGTGATGGGAGTGAAACCACATGAATCGAGTGCAATGTCATGTTACAGTAAATCTGAAATCTGAAATGCTCCAGCATCTGACATATTTTGAGTACTAACGTGACACTCAAAAAGTTTCAGATGTTGGAGCATTTCGAATTTTAGATTTTTGAATTAAGGACACTCAACCAATAAAGTCTGGAAAACTCCAGAATCTGAAATACTTTTAGTCCTGAACATGTGAGAGGAATATATTCAACATGTACCACTGTTATGTGTGTAGAGTTATCCGCCACACCCCCTCATCCTTTCCAAGAGCTGTACACAGAAAGCCCCTCTCTCCAGGGCCTAAGAGGGCCTCGCAGTGTTGAGGCAGAGGGAATAGCCCAAGCAGGGGATTTAAATGCAAGCTTTCCACTGTTGCTTCTGATTCAGATTGAGAATTCGGCGGAGGAGTTTGCTTTGTACGTGGTCCACACCAGTGGTGGTAAGTCTGCGGAACACAGTACACTTTAAAGCTGTTAATTAACTCAAAATAGCAACTCATTCAGTTGTGTGGGCTTTGGAAACTTCCAAATGTTGTGTGCTTCCAAGGTTGGTGGTGGGCTTGTTGGGTAGGTCCTGGGGGGAATGATGTATGGGGGCCATAAACAAACCCTAAAACCAACCACCTATTTATTTATTTATTTTTTGTTTTGTTTTTTCTCCGGTACCGGGAACCGAACTCACGACCTTGTGCTTGCCAGGCAGGCGCTTTGCCGCTGAGCTAAATCCCCAGCCCCCCAACCGCCTATTTAAAAAGGGACTGGGTGTTTTTGAGAGACATCTAAATGTAGTTTCTCCAAAGAGTCATCTTCTTAAATGTTTGAGGCACAGTAGCATCATCCCAGGCAGAGCCAGGGGAAGAGGTTGCTCATAGCTGCACCTGTTGAATATTCCTTTACACATCAATCTCCTGCCTTGTGCGGCTGCATCCCTTAAGGTGCCCAGCCAGTTGGGGACCCCTGAGTGGACACTTCCTGAGGTGATAGAGGCCTCAGGCCAAACTCAGGGGAGCTCCTGGCTGTGTGTGCTTCCAGAGAAACAGAAGCTGAAGCCTACCGATTACCCGCTGATAGCACGCATCCTGCGGGGCCCCTGCGAGCAGGTCTCCAAGGTGTTCCTCATGGAGAAGGACCAGGTGGAGGAGGTCACCTATGATGTGAGTGCCCTCCTGGGGCCGTCTGACCTCAGGAGGATGGGGATGTGGCTGGGGAACAGCGGGACATTTTGGCCAAGGAACACGTCCCCTTTTGATGACGTTCTTCAATACCAGCTTTTCTGGAAGCCAGTGTACCCTGTGGGAATTGTGGGAGGAATGCTGAGACAGAAAGGGATTTCCACAGGAAAAATAAATTTCTTGACCCTTGCCAGGATACTGTAACCAATTAGAGAAATTTTATAAACACTCTTTTAATAGCATCAAAAAATTAGTAGTAGCTGGGCATGGTGGTACATGCTTATAATCCCAGCACTCTGGGAGACCGAGGCAGGAAGACTGCAAGATTAAACCCAGCCAGGGCAACTTAGTGACTTGACAAGATCCTCTTTAAAAATTAAAAATAGAAAAAGGTTTGGGGATGTAGCACATTGTGAAGTTTAATTTCTGGTATGAGAAGAAAAAGAAAGAGATCAGCAGTGATTGTACCTCATCTTAAGTGTGAGTCAGCTTTTGCAGCAGTAACAAACAATCCCCATCTCAATAGCTTACAACAGCATTTGCTTTTGATCCTGATCATGCTGGCTGGGAGCAGCCTCTCTGCTCTGGGGTGTGGGTTGAGGGCAGGACTGCACTGTGTGTCACATTCAGAGGTCCAGGAGGGAGGGGCAGTGGCCATGAAGGGTTTGCTCCTCGAAGCAGCTGGGCCAAAGTATGAAAACACATGGCTAAACCTCCATCACCCCAATTAAGCAACAGTCATGACTGCACACATCCCACTGGCCAGAGCAAGCCGCACAGCCAGGTTCAGCATTAACAAGGTTGGGCAGTGGGCTGGTCCCATGGAGGAAATTGTGGAGCAGCTGGGGGATCTGGTGGGTGAGGGGAAGCCCTTGCTGAAGTGTAACTTCCCTGGAACCACTCCACCTCCCAGGCAAGGACCCCTTTGGATCCCTGTCTGAGGAGGCTAGAGCTATAGACCACCATCTGAGCCGCCATTCCTTAGGTTCCTTTGGGAAAGAACAAAAAACTCACATGTTGGGAGTTCAGTTCTTTCTCTACATCATTGTTTCAGTAGAAAGTGCTTTTCCATCATTAAAATCATGGGTTGGATGCATGAGATGAAAAATGAGAAGTCACGTCTCACTATGTACTTCAGGCTTTCCTTGAACTCACTCTGTAGCCCAAGTTGGGTTCAAACTAGTGGTGATCCTCCTGCCTCAGCCTCCCAAGTGCTGGGATTACAGATGTGGGCCACCATGCCCACATCTTCATTGTAGTCTTTGTGCCACCTTGAGAAGGATGAGGCAGGATGAGGCATGGCCCTTGCCTTAGAGGGCGACCTGGGCTAGGAGAAAAGTAGGTTTCTCAAGGTTCCCTCTGTGTCTTTCGTCTTGCGGGAGACCAAGGGCAAAAGGAACGGGCCGCCTCACAGCCAGGTCACTTCCTCCTCTGCAGGTGGCCCAGTACATCAAGTTTGAGGTTCCGGTCCTGAAAAGTTTCATCCAGAAGCTCCAAGAGGAGGAGGACCGGGAGGTGAAGAAGCTGGTGCGGAAGTAAGTGAAGCTCTGGGTGCTGCTGGCTTCTCCGGGCCTGGGGAGAAGTTCCTTTTATGAAGAAACTTTCTAGAAGTTTCTTCATAAAGAAGAAAGGCTTTGGCTTAGAATCTCTGAAGTCTAGGTTCCGGAAGCGGGGGTGGTGACTTTCTCGGGGGTCTCCTTGGGGGACAGTGCTGCCACCTGTGCCTGAGTGAGGCACCTCTTCCCTTTTAACGTTGCTCTCCCGGGGATGTCCTTTGGGTCGGAAGCAATAGTAAAGCTTCTCTCAGGGTTTTACGGCTCCTGTTTGGTTACACAGCAGACTGCCTTGCGTGCATTACAGAACAGTTGGTTGATTTTTGCCCCCGGAGAATAAGGCTGTATTTACTGTTCTCCGTAACAATAATTAGCATGATAGCAGCTGACACTTACTAAACACTTCCTGTGTCCTGAACTTTGAACCTAGCTTTTGCCGCACAGTGCAAAGCCAGACATTAAGGCCGTGTCTCCGAGGTATGCCCTGCACAATAATGTCCAATCCACTGTCAGTGGTGTCACTTTCAGGGGAAACCCATTTCCCTTTCACCTTAAGGGCCCTTTGTCTGTTGCCAGGGCCTCTAGTGCAAAGTGCAGGGTGCAGGTTGAACCTCCTGAGTTGGTCTTCTTGGTAGCCCCCCCAAGGGACAAATGCTGGCAGTTTCGGTGCCCTGGCCTAGCTGAAAGTTCATGAGCTGCCGAGCATGTATAAGTACTGTGTGTAGTGCTTCGGGCATCGCTGGCACTCAACTAACGGAACCCTTATCATCGCTTCTCTTCTTTCCCATTGTCCTTGTTTTTCCAAACTTCCTGGCCATAGTAAAATAATTTGGATTTGGATTTGGTCTCTTTATTCCCTCTTGTCCTGGCATGGAAGTGAACACAGCAATGCAGTGGCTACTGAGTGGGCCAGCAAAGGCAGCAGAGGGAGAGGCCCACGGCCACCCAGTGCCACCTGGTGTTAGCTGGCGCCCCCTGGTGTTAGCTGGCGCCCCCTGGTGTTAGCTGGCGCCCCCTGGGCGGGGTTGGCGGGTTATCCGGGATGGGTCTGTTGCTAGCTGCCCTCTGCCACAGACTATCTCTTGTCCTCAGGTACACTGTGCTCCGGCTAATGATTCGGCAAAGGCTGGAGGAGATAGCTGAGACGCCAGCAACCATCTGAGCCACAGGAATGGGGGATCCCGGGGCCCCAGGGGCCACCACTGACCCAGGAAGACCCACAGGAAGCCAGGCGCTCCCCTCCCATGGCAATGCTTATGTGTCAACCGCAAGCCATCCTTTGCTCCCAGGAACAGGATGTGAAGCCAGTGGACCAGTCCCTATACCTGGACCCCTGCTCTCCTCTCTTTCACTTGCAAGGACTTTTGATTTTAATTGTAAGGAAGACCGGATGTGTGTCTGAACATGCGCGTGCGTGTGCACAGGAGCCGCGCCTGTGCCTGCCTGGTCTTCCCACCCGAGTTCACTCCAGCAGCCAGCTCAGCCCTCGAGGCTGGCAGATGTGTGCCTGGGGCGGGAAAGTCCGAGGACGGTAAAGGAGATTTCTTCTCTTAAGAGGCAGCGGCAGCCACGTGAATCTGCCCAAGTTTAGAGCAGGGAGAGTGTGCTGCGAGCTCGCTGCTGGGGGTATCTGTGTTGGTAGAGATGCCCTGTATGCCTGGAAAGATCAGTGAATGCGAGATCCTCGGAAATTAAATGATAACAGCCTTGTAGCCTTGCCTGAAGGAGAGAAACAGACCCCCCTGGGTTAATGCAATGAGTCCACAATGTTTACACTGGAAACTCTGCTTGCTTTAAATAACAAAGATGGATGTGCTGGTCCACATGGTTGCTGGAGATGGATGGATTCTGCTTTGTTTTGCCGCCAGGAGAGGGAGAGCGAACCCTCACTGCGCCTTCTTAGGCTGGAGGAAAGTTCCACGAAGCAGAGGCCCTGCCGGGCGCTTGTGAGGCCTGGCTTGTTCCAGGAAGGTGGCCAGGAAGTTGCCAAGCCCCCTCCTTTGGGCTGACGGGAAGGACAGCCCAGGCCGGCTTCACGTTGGCAAGTCTTCCTGTGCCTGGAGCCAGGCCGCGTGGTTGCGCTTTCTTCTCTCCAGCCGCTGATTCTTGCAAGCTCCCCCACCCTGTGCGTGAACGCAGGCCCAAGCAGGAGCACTCGTCCTGCTGAGGATCGAGTGTGGGGCTCAGGCAGCTCTGTGGACTGCCCGGTGGGAGTAGCCCAAGGATGGAGCTTGCCCTGCTTCTGTGAGCTGATCTTCAGAGCAGCCTCATCCAGGCTCCAGGATGGGGATGTCTGTCCCCTGGCTCCTGTGTGGCTGTGCCTTCTGAGGGACGACAGAGGCCTGGAGCTGGGTGCCAGGCTGTGGAGATAACTGAGCAAGACCAGGAACTCCTAACAGCTCCAAGTCTAGCTGGGGAGGAGAGCTGCACATCTGTCCACCTGCTCCCAGGGGTGGCCTGGAGGCCTGGCCAGTTGGGAAAGCAGAACCACCTGCCAGGGCCTTCCAAGGACGCTGGGCCTCTGCGATAGAGCCACTCCCGCACCACCAGCCTTCTCCCCAGTGTCTACAACAGCTGCACAGCTGTGTCTCACTGTAGCTTTTTGCAAGATGGGCTGCTGCCCCTGGGCCTGCTGCCGGAATCGCCCAGTGAGCCCGCTTCCTCCATGGGGACAACAGGACCAGCTCCACAGGGCTTCTGTCAGTCCTGCACCTCAGCGGGCATCTGCCAGGTGCAGAGAGTGGGGGTTGGGGCGGGGCTCCCATGGTCACAGATGTAAAAGAGCAGTTTCGGGAATGCACACGCACCCCCTCCCTGAGGTTTGCCTGGAGGATTTCTGTGCTAGCTGTTTTTGTCATGAACGTCCAAAGTCTTGGTTGCCTCAGTAGTTCTCCTTTGGGGGCAGAGGGGAAGAATTTTCACAAAGCAAATTATTAACCACTAACTTACAGAGAGCTACTTCTGGTTTTAGAAATTCTCTGTGAATTATTCTATCAATTTAACAGCGTTCAGTACGAAAAGTGTTGTAAAATGCTCAGTTCGCCAGATCTCTGAGAATGTTATACCAAGGTAGCCTTGACTTTCTAAAGTGGGGTTCAGGGTAGCAGGGGAGGGGAGTGTGTTTTACACTATATTTTCACTAGCGAGGGCCACCATTTTCCATTTTGGCCCATGCTATGGAGACCATTTCTCATGCTGTAATAATCGGATGAAGGCATTTGGCTGGATGTGGTGGTGCATGCTTGTGTTTGGGAGGCTGAGGCAGGAGGATCTAAGCTGACTTCAAGACCAGCCTGGATTACATATCAAAACCTTGTCTCAAAGAAATGAAACAGAATTTTGGAAGCTTGGCTGGGGGTTATAGCTCAGTGGTAGGGCACATGCTTAGCACGCATAAAGCCTTGGCTTCAATCCTCAGCATCAAGACAAACAAAAACCGGATTTGGGAAACTTTCTCTGGAAGAGCAGCAGCTGAAATAGAGACTTGGCCATGGCGGCGTGGCCCAGATTTTCCCACTGGTATCACATGGCCTCTCAGCTTTGGACCCCTGGACTGATTTCCGTGGGTTGTGTAACTGTGGGCAGTGAGCCTGAAATGATGTGGACATCAAAGGCCAATGTACAGGGTTCCTCTTGTCTCGTGAAAAGCAGTTAGCTGCATCTGGCTTCCCCGGCCCCCACTCCCACCCTGCTTTTTTTCTTTTTTGTGCAGAGGTTTATGTGACATGGTGTCAAATGAAGGAAAACCCTGAGCCAGCGGCTGGCGAGGTGGAATGAAGCGTGAGGCCCCATTCTTGGTGATCACAGGAGTCGGAATGTGGAGACTTACGTGGGGGCAGGACCTGGCCCTGGGGAAGGAACCGAGACGCACAAATGAGATAAGCTCGCGCGCGCCCCAGTCTCTAGATTGGGTGGACTTTGACTTCGCTCTTCTGTAGTTTTTCTTTTCTTTTCTTTTTTGGTGCTGGGATCGAACCCGGGGCTTCATGCATGCTAAGCACAGCGGCGCCATGAGCTACCTCCCTGCACAAGAGCTCACATTGGTGACTCAGCCACCGCAGGCAACCCCAGCCTCCGGGAATGGATGAATCCACACAGCAACGCAGAGTTCTCAAGGCCCGGTCACCTCCAGAGGCACCCCCTCTACGAGCCTGCGCTGGCACTGAGTTTCTCACACATGGATCTGGGGACACAGTCAAATCAAACAGAGTGAAATGACGCGTCCTCCTGGCGTCCTGGCAGAGAAAGCAGGGGCTGCGGCACAGGAGGCCGGGTTCACCCGCCTGACTCCTAAATCCCAGGGACTCATCCATGCGGAGCCTTCCTTTAGGACTGGGTCTCCTCACCAGCAGAAAAGCAGAGCTGCCCCACAGGGGACAGGGGACCCGGGCTGGGCTGGAGGGAACCCCCAGGGTCCCCAGAGGTAAGGTTTTCAGAGTCAGGACCAAGTACCCTGCTAAGTAGGACAGTTAATCCTGACTTGGTCAGCCCGGTACCCAGATACTTAGTTCAAACACTGGTCTAGATGCTACGTTTAGATGAGATTAATGTTTAAATCAGATGTGACTAGGCGCCCTCCATAAGGTGAGTGGCCTCATTCATTCCACTGAAGTCCCTAAGAGAAGAGACTGCAGGACCTTGAGGCACAAAGAGCTCTGCTTCCAGCCTGCCTTTGGGCTTGAATTGCATCCTTGATCAAGTGAGCCAATCATTAAAACAAATTCTCTCCATCTACATATAATTGTCAGACCTCCATAGCTACAGGTTCTGTATCATTGAATTCAACCAACTGTGCATCAAAAATAGTAAAAACAAGAGCAAAAGCAGGGCTTGGTAATGCACACCTGTACTTCCACACCCTGGGAGGCTGAGGCAGGAGGACTGCAATTATGAGCCCAGCCTGGGCAACTTAGTGATTTAGTGAAACTCTGTCTCAAGATAAATGGAGCTGGGTACTATGGGTGCCTATCTGCAATCCTAGCACTCAGGAGCTGAGGCAGGAGGATCATTGTAAGTTTGAGGCCAATCTGGGCTACATGTGAATTCAGGGTCAACCTGAACTACAGAGTTCAGACCCTGTCTCAAAAGAAAGTTTAAAACAAAGATTTCTAGAAAGTTCCATAAAGCAAAACTTGAATTAGTTGTGTGCCCAGCACGCTACACACATACCCCCTCCTGTGAGGCCACAATCTTCGTCTCTCCAGACCTCGTCTGTGTAGTTGGATCGATAATTGCACACAAAAATGTGTATACTTTTTCTTGTCCTCGTTCCCTAAACAATACTGTATGGTAACTATTTCCCTAACATTTACATAGTATTAGATATTCTAAATCACCCAGGAGTGATTTAAATTTGCAGGAGGATGGGTGCATGAGAGAAAAAAAGAAACGTTGGATAAGTTGGTTCCTTTCTACTGTTATTCTGAGTTCCTGTAGTTGGAGACTTTAGTCAGAAGATGATGGCCTTTCAGCTGGCAGGTTAACTAAACTGGGAGACAGGATGAGCAGACGGGCGACCCCTCCGAGGCAGTGACACGTGTGTGCTGCATGTCAGGGGTGGAGGGGACACAGACAAAATGGTTTGCTTGGGCCTCACCAAGCCCCCGAATCAAGCAGTGAGCCTTGTAGCAGTTTAGATTGCCCCATTTCACCCAGTAAGTGCCAGTAGCCTTCTGCAAAGGTCGCTGACAGTTGTCTTGCTTTTATGGAAGTAGCTTTTATGAAATAATTTGGTTTTGTCTATTTTAGGTAATGAAGTTATGACAGTGGAGTTGTAACAAAACTGTACTGTGAAGAACATGTTACCACAGGGCTTACATACCAGCAAACTCTACAGAAAATTGAATTTGGGTAAAACTGCTGTTTTCACTGTAAAACCAAGCAAAATAATAAAAAAAACCCAACCCACGTGATTTCAGTTAAGCATATGTGTTACCTAAGTTAACTCTATCCGAGTAACAGATTACTAGTATGTACTTTATAAGTTAACTTTAGAAGTTTTAAAACTGTGGGGCCACAGGCAGGCACCACGGGTCCTGGTTAGCTTGGCACTTTTCCAGGTTACATCTGCTGTTCTGGTAGAGCAGTTGACAGCGCGCCCTTTGACCCTGAAAATCTCCCTGTGTGGATGATGAATATGGTCACTCTACCAGCTGCCCAAAGAGCAGCTTCTAAGTTTAATGACAAGTTTTAAAGACGCAGCTATAAGTTTGAGTTGAAATGTTAAGTTTAACCTTTGGAACAGTGCTAAAATCTAAACACAAGTCTTGGGAGAACACAAAATATAATGTGGGTATTTATGTATCAGTGTTTTGCTAACTCCAATTTAAATGGTCTTGCATTAGAACAAGGTATATGTATATGAAATTTTAAAGTCAGACATGTTGGCATTAACTAATGATTTTGGTTTTCATTTTTACTTTTTTTTTTTTTTTTTTTTTGTCTTTTTGAGACAGGGTCTCGCTATGCAGTTCAGGCTGAACTTGAGCTCACTTTGTAGCCCAAGCTGGTCTCGAACTCGCAATGATCCTCCTGCCTCAGCCTCCCGACTGCTGGGATTACAGGCGTGTGCCACCACACCCGGCTACATTTTTACTTTTTTTAAAAAAGTATCCTTCCAGCTTTATGGAGGAATAATCAGCAAATGTAAATTGTGTCGACAGAAGGCATCAAGGCTGATGATTTGGTACACACTGTAAAATGATTACTGCAATCACGTTAATTAACACGGCATAACCAGAGAGTTACAACTGTGTCTTGGGAGGTGGGAAGGTCACTTATGATCTACTTTCCTGGCAAATTTTAAATAAAAAATGCAGTAATATTAGCTATGGTTGCCACACTCTACATTAGAGCCCTAGAACCGATTCATCTTAGAACCCAGTTTGTAGCCTGACTTTGAGGGTGTTATACCCAAAACACAGGCAAAAGCAAGCATGAACAAGGGGGACTACATCAAGCTCAGAAGCTCCTACACAGCAGGCAACCATCAAAGTGAAAAGACAACCTCAAAACGAGAGAAAGTGTTTGCAAACCACATGCCCGGTAAGAGCTTAACGTCAAAAGCATTACTCAGCACCTCGTGCCTTTGTCCCCTGCTAGTCACTGAGCCCCTCCACGTGCCCCCGTGGTACTTGCTTATCCCTGAGAGCCGCCTGAGAACAGCAGCACCAGGCTTGGTGTTGGCCGGTCGGGCCACTGAGGACCTGGGCCTCTGCAGCTGGCGCCGGTGTCGGGCAGGAGGAACGGAGGCAGTGGAGGCGGGTGTGTGTGTGTGTGTGTGTGTGTGTGTGTGTGTGTGATCTGCCTGTGCAAGGTGACCACGCCTCGGCGAGGTTGGGGGATAATTCTGGGAACAAATTGCTAATGACACCCCCCACCCACCCCGCAAATGTAGACTGTCTGGGGCTAGCAAAAGCCTTGAACTTGAAATGACCCGAAGGTAAGGGATGAATCTGAGACGTGTAATTGAGGGTGAAGTTCCTTAACTAAATTCTGGCAATAACAAAATTGTCACAAAAACCAACGTAAGTAGTTTGGCCCAAAGCTCTTGAGCTAACAAAGCAAAGAGCAGACAACTCCATCTACGACCCATGGAAAGAACCAGGAAGGAGGGGCTGAGGATTTAGCTCAGCGGCACAGCACCTGCCTAACAAGCACGAGGTCATGAGTTCCTGGTACTGGGTGCGGGGGCGGAGGGGGCGGGACAGGGAGACAGAGCTTTTGCAAAGGGGAAGGAGACCCAGAGCTGGAGGGAAGACGGAGGGGGAGGGGATGAAAGGAGGATGAGATGCCGTTCACACAGGTACCAGCTCCCCAAGATGAATGTGATCTCTATGTACTGCAAGCACACAATTGTGAAAATAAAAAATTAAAAAAGATATTTAAAAGAAACCAGGAAGTAAAAGTTAAATTAATGCTCTTAGCTGGGTGTGTGGTGCAGGCCTGTAATCCCATCACTCAGGAGACTGTGGCGGGAGGATCTCTGCAAGTTCAAGGCCAGCCTAGGTTACATAGTGAGTTCTAGGTCAGCCTAAGCTACATAGCAAGACCTTGGCTTTAAAAAAATCTAAAGATGAATTATTAGAAATGCTAAGTAAATTTTGCAAGGTTGCTAAGACAATGAAAATATATTGTGTATCTATGAGTTTCTTAGTATCTAATCTAATACAGGATGAGAAAAAAACTAAAACTGGGAAGATATACATCATCCATAGATTGTAAATATAGCAGCTTGCCCCAAATTTATCCATAGATTCAAGCCACCCCAATAAAAGGCCAATTAAGAGTTTTCATGCTGTCTTCCTTCCATGATAGTGGTACAAATAAAACAAAATCTATAAACATAAAAATTACTCAGCCACGGAAAGTAAAGATAAAGTTCACGTAGAAAGTTGGAAAATATAGTTGTATAAAATGATAAGCCATCATGTTTAATATGAATGCATGGATGTAGACCTACATTAAAAAATACTAGGAAAACAGTTATCTTAGAGTGATGGATTATACTTTCTTCGTGTTTCTATTATATTGCCTTTTAAATTAACATTTTGTTGAGTAAATCCAAAAATTTGAATATCTAAAAACATGTAAAAGCGGGCATGGTGGTGCACGCCTGTAATCCCAGCACTCGGGAGGCTGAGGCAGGAGGATTGTTGCAAGTTTGAGACCAGCCTAGGTTACAAAGTGAGCTCAAGGCCAGCTTGAACTGCATAGTGAGACTCTCTCAAAAAAGACAAAAAAAACCCCACCCATGTAACATACAACACACACATGCACATACACACAGAACCATGGCTAGAAGACTGGAGACAGGTGAGGCCTCATCTCACTGGTGGGGCCAAGTTTTCTAAGCATCAGACTTCAGAATCCCTGTTATAATATGAGGCCCCCCATACAGTTGAGATGCAGTCCCTATGCACAAAGCAGACGTATATGCATGTGTGTGTCTGGGATATATGTAATGCACATGCACACCTGTGTAATGCACGTAAAACAGAAGTAGTTCCATTTAGTAGTAGATCCAGGGCCTTTGAGGAAATGGCCACCCTCCTATCATAAGCATGCAGGAGCCCAAAGGATGGAGAAGGCCCCATGCATGAAACTCGGACATTCCCTGGGGTAGGCTAAATCCTCCTGGACACCAAACCCACTTTTGAATTGTTTGCTCAATGCTGCTTTCAGAAACTGGACCCACAGTGTTAAATGAAATGAGCTGGACACACAAGCTAAAATATTGCATGATTTTTCTTATGTAAGAAATCCAACACATAAATAAAGAACAAAAGAGAAGATAAACAGGGAGATCCTTTGCAAACAGGAAGAGGCCCAAGAGATGGAGGGAGAGGGAAGAAAGGGAGGGGAAGGGGACATAAAAGGAATTGAGATGTGTTACGTACATGTACTGACTCCCCACGAGGAATGTAATTTTTATGCACTGCAAACATGTACTAATAAAAGTAAAAATTTTAAAAGAAATTGGAAAAAAAAAATAAAAAAGAAATTAGACAAGTGAAACATATGGTAAATTCTGGAAAGCCGGGGTCAGCCAGGATGTGGACTTTTCTACTTCCAGTTCTCACATTCTGAAGTTCTCTTTGTTAGGAACTAGCCACCAAGCCGGGCGTGGTGGTGCACACCTATAATGCCAGCACTTGGGAGGCTGAGGCAGGAGGATCATTGCATGTTCAAGACCAGCCTGGGCTACAAAGTCAGCTCAAGGCCAGCCTGAACTGCTTAGTGAAACCCTGTCTCAAAAAAAAAAAAAAAAAAAAAAAAAAAAAAAAGAACTGGCCACCGGCCCTGTGCCTGCCTGGTTGAGCCAGCTCTGCAGCGCTGTTCCAGAGAACTGCAGCCTGGCCTCAGCGGATACCCTGCTCCCCTTCTCGGACGTGCACCTGAGCCCTGAGCCGGGAGCTTGGAACTAAGTGGGTGTCTGGGGCAGCGGTAGTCAGGATGATTTTGGGGCTGACTCAGATAATTAGCAAATAAACTCAAATTTAAAATAACTGACTCAGGTGCCTACTAGTATCTTCTCAGGACATAGAAAACCCTAAAACAACACAGCTTACTTGAAGCAATTTTAAGATTGCCCTTGCGGGGCTGGGGATTTAGCTGGGGTTGGGGATTTAGCTCAGTGGTACAGTGCTTGCCTGGCAAGCACAAGGTCGTGAGTTCAATTCCCAGTACCGGAAGAAAAAACAAACAAACAAACAAAAATCAAATATCTTAAGATTGCCCTTGGAATTTCCTTAAAAAACCTCAAGGGCTCTGAAGGTCCTCATAGACCCTCGTGCCAGTGCTTTTGACCCTTAGGGTGTGTCAGACGCACCTAGGAACTGGGTCCCCCATCCTCTTCCTGACCCAGCAGGTGGCAGTGACCCAAGAATTTGCCTCTCAGGTGAAGCTGACATTTCCAGCCCACATAGGTAGTGTGGGTCTCACTGAGGCTGGCATTACTGCCCCCTGGGAGTGTTTAAAGCATTGATGTCTGAAGGCCACACCTGATAGGCTGATTTCATTCTTCCAGAGTGTGGCTCTGATAGCAGACTTTTTACCACAGTACCTGCCCCTCGTTCCTGTGTGCCCTGGTTTGAGAATCCCTTGAAAAAAATCCTGAAAGTTCCTAAATCTAAATGACCCTAAATAATGAAACAATCTCATGCAAAACATTTAAACACAATAAACAGCTACAATGGCTCTAAGCTTGCTAAATGTATTAAGCAACCCTAACTGACCTCAAAGGACACTAAAATATCCTAAATGACTCTGAGTGTTAGAAAAAAAGACCTTAAATGACCTTAATGAAGTCAAGATATAATAAAAAGGCCTAGTGGAGGTGGGAGGATTGCATAAACCCAGGAGTTCAAGACCAACCTGGACAACGCAGCATGACCATCATCTCAAAAAAAAATTAAA